TTACATGTCAAGCACTGCTTAGGCATTTGCTTAGTTAATGCTTGCAGGAATTCTGTGACATAGGTACAGTTGTTATCTCTATTTTGCAGCTAGGGAAAGTCAGGTTTCAGTCTTAGGAACAGAGAAAAGAGGAAGTATGACATAATAAAAACAAACAGACTTTGTACCGAATTCTTGTGTCAGTTCTGCCTTAGACTTCATTTTTCTCATGTATATAACGGGAAAGTTTATTTTTAAAGCTCTTTTAAAGAATATTAAGAACTCTAAAACCATTCTTTACAGTAGGTTCCGATATGAAATGAGAAAAGCAACAAGAACAATGATAAAGTAGATGTGTCATGTCTCCCCAAGGAATAATCAGGTGAATATAGGCTTTAGAAAGCATAGACTTTTGCAATTGGCAGTAGAAGCTCAATAGATTCAGTGCTTTGAGCTTTGACTAATAGTATCCAACAACAGTGTATCTCAGTAATTTAGTTTGTTTAGGGAACTTAACTGTTTTTATTTTTTTTTATTTTTTTTATTTTTTTAGGCGAGGCAACCCTTGGTTGACCTCACAGATTGCAAGGACCTTGTCAGCTTACAATCCATTATTTTTTTATTTTTCACACCTACAGCACCTGGTCTTCCTAGATGGTCTCTCATCCAAGTACTAACTAGGCATGACCTTGCTTAGCTTCCGAGACCAGAAACTTAACTTTTTTAAAAACTAAATATATGCATACAAGTTAGGTTCTTGAAGTCTAACAAACTTCATATTTATAAATAAATTTTATATATAAAGCTCATGTATAAACTTTACATTTAACCCTAACGGAGCCCTTGAATAATAAAGGCATACATGACTCTTTTAGAAAGGAAGAAGAAAAAAGAACATACATTTGTATTTCCCTCCTCACTGTATGCTGTTTAATATGGCTAGTCATATCCTTTAAAAAAGTCACCTCGGTAAAGCAAGCATGTAAACTGGAAAGACAATGATTATTACTAAAAAGTCATGGCAATTCAAGGGTAATTTACTGATCATTGTCATGGACAAAAGGGATGAGGCTTAGCAGATGATGAAGGAGAATTAGCCCCCTTTCCAAAGCCCATAGAAAGGAGAGAGAGTTGCAGATGGAGCCTCTGCTGAAGGTGAGGCCAGAAATCAGAAAGACTGAGTGAGGACCAGTGAAGGTGCCAGCAGAGAGGAGAATACTTTTTAAAATCTAAACATCAGAGACATTCTGTTGTTGAATGGATGCCACATAAACTGTTTCGAAGATTCAAATAGTAGACAATTTTTGCATGTTGGTAGAGTCTTTAAAAATATGCTTATGATGTATGGCAGATAGGACACACTCATAGATAAGTTTTGGCTAATTACGTTATAAGGTTAATGGGCTGTATCTATATGTTCTGTGATTGCTTAGCTCAGTTGATAAAAGCAATGGTCATTAAATATGATCTATGATCCTTCAAGATAAGGGTTGTAGCTCACAGGTGATCTGTGGACTGGCCAGACTGTAAAGACAGAATTAACTGCTGTGAGGTTGCAGTTCTCAGAAACTGAAGAGGAAGGCACTATTTTTATTTGTATTGAATTTACATTACTATCAATCCTTTTTAAGGACACTGCATTCTTGTTGCTGTCAACAGAAATATGGAGAGTAAGAAAAAACAAGATTATATTGTCTCAGAAGCATTCTGCTTAAGGGGAGTCAATCTACCTATGTGGGAAACGAGAAGGTATTGGTAGAAAGAGCGTATAGTCTTTCTCCTCTCCATTGCTCCACCGAGGGTGGGAGGCCTCACTGCTATCTCTTTTTCTTTTTCAACCCTATTTCATTCTCCACACGTTATGAGCAGCGCACAAGTACAGAGTGTGTAGAAAGCAGTGGAATTAGTCAAGAGGAACTGCCCTTGCTGAAGTTTTTAATGGTAGGGAAGAGATGTAGTAGAAATTCTGATGGAGTTTTGACACACTAATGAGCTGACAGATGAAAAATTCTGAGACTCTCAGCTTACAATAGGGCAATCCTATATGAACGTGACGGTTTTGATTTCACATGGGGCAATTACCTTTGCTCTGTTCAGTGGCCACCAGCTAGATCCTTAGTTTTACTTAACTTCTAGGAAAACGCATTTCATTGTTCACAAAGAGGACAGGAGGGCAGTGAGGAAATGTGTCACCACTTATAGCTAATGAAAAAATAAAAAACAAAAAACTCAAAGAATGTTAGGATGATAATTGAGTGAGTTGTGTTGCCTTTGGAGATAAAGATGATCGCATCTTCATTTGCATTATTTTTTGCAAATAAAACAAAATGTCGATTACCCAGTGGATGTGAGAACAGTGAGCTAGAGCTGGCCATAAGTAAAGGAGTGCCTTTTCAGAACTCGTCCTTTAAATGATTGGATCGCTCCATTGTTCTTCACTTCTAAGAAAGGATGGCTCAGGATGTGTGCCTAAATGAATATGAAACCAGCAACGCATTTAGAATAAAAAAGGAAGAAAGTAGACTTTTTTTTTTCTTTTTTAAATGGCGAGTCACGTGTTCTGGTCAGGTATATGGTCTGGAACTTCCCAGATGTCCACATCTTTCGCTTTGGCAGTTTTGCATCAGGTCTTAAACACAGCAAGTTTAATTTATTTGAAGTCTTTACAAACGTTTTCTAAAGACTTTTTTTTAAAGCCATTTTTTAAGTTTAGTTTGTAACTAAACTTAAAATTGAGTGGAAGAGGCAAAGATTTCACATATACCCCCTGCTCCCCCACATACATAGCTTCTTCTGTTATCTATCAATAGCACTCCCCAAAATTTTTTTAAAAAAATCAAGAATGAATTTATACTGATACATCATAATACCCAAAGTCCATAGCTTACCTTAGAGTTCACGCTTGGTGTTGTACGTTGTATGGATTTTAACAAATGTACAATGATATGTATCCATCATTATATCACAGAGTATATTCATATATATGGATATATATCCATACATTATATCATTTTAGCTCCCCTAAAAATCCTCTGTGCTTCATCTATTCCTCTCTCTCTCCCCTCACCTATCCATCACAGGCAATCGCTGATCTCTTTACTGTCTCTAGAGTTTTACCTCTTCCGAAATGTCATATAGTGGGAATCATACAGTATGTAGCCCTTTCAGATTGGCTTCTTTCATTTAGTAATATGCATTTAAGTTTTCTCTCTATTTTTACATCATTTCATAGCTTATTTCTTTTTAGAATATTTCTTGTCTGGATGTCCCACAGTTTATCCATTCACCTACTGGAGGACATCTTCCAAGTTTTGACAATTATGAATAAAGCTGCTATAAACATCTGTGTGCAGGTATTTATGTAGACATGTTTTAAACTCCTTTGGGTAAATACCAAGGAGCATGATTACTGGATCATATGATAAGAGTATGTTTAATTTTGTAAGAAACCACCATACTGTCTTCCAAAGTGAGTGTATAATTTTACATTTCCAACAGCACTGTATGAAAGTTCCAATAGCTCCACATCTTCACCAGCATTTGATGTTGTCAGTGTTCCATATTTTGGCTATTGTAATAGGTGTGTAGTAGTATTTCACTGTTGTTTTTATTTTCATCTCACCGATGACATATGATGTAGAGTATCTTTTCATGTACTTATTTGCCATCTGTATATCTTCTTTGGTGAAGTCTCTGTTAAGGTCTTTGGCCCATATTTTTTCAAGGTATTTTTTAATCAGGTTGTTTGTTTTCTATTTGTTGAATTTTAAGGGTTCTTTGTGTATTTTGGATAACGTACCTTTATCAAAAGTGTCCTTGGAAAATATTTTCTCCTAGTCTGGCTTGTTTTCTCATTCTCTTGACATTGTTTTTCACAGAGCAGAAGTTTTTAATGAAGTCCAGATTGCCAATCATTACTTTCATGGATCATGCCTTTGATACTGTATCTAAGATGTCATCTTCACATCCAAGGCCATCTGGGTTTTGTCCTATGTTATCTTTTAGGAGTTTCATAGTTTCATGTTTTACATTTAGGTCTATGATCCATTTTGAGTTAATTTTTTTGTGAAAAGTATAGGGTTTGTGTACAGATTGATCAATTAATTGATTGATTGCATATGGATGTTCAGTCATTTCAGTATCATTTTACAAAGACTGTCTTGCTCATTGTATTGCCTTTATTTCTTTGCTAAAGATAAGTTGATTACATGTCTGGTCTCTCTACTGTGTTGTATTGATCTATGTGTGTATTCTTTTGCTAATACCTCATTGTCTAGATTATTGGAGTTTTATAATAAGTTTTGAAATCAGGTAGTGTCAGTCCTCCAACTTTATTTTCTCTCTTTCAATATTGTATTGGCTATTTTTGGTCACACATGCTTAGAATTACTTAGTTTGATTTATAAATGATGTCATAGGGAACAAATAATATCCTAGAGGCTTACAGAATTGATGTAGCTGATCAAGATGCCTCCCTCTCAGGAAAATTTTGAATCATTGTATTTTAGACACTGGGAATAGAATAGTTAAAATTTCAAAAGAGTAATTTGGATCGAATAGCCTAAGTATAAACATGTATCCAAGGGCTCTTTAGATGAGAAAAATCATGATTGATTTCCTCAAAGACAAATTATATGGAGATGATAGATAGATAGATAGATAGATAGATAGATACATACATACATACATACATACATACATACATATTAAAAAGACAATGTAGGTTCTAAATAGAAAGAAGCAATAACATTTTAAAAATATATTGAACAGTGTGCCAACCATCATGCCTTACATTATTTCTAGTTATTGAAATCACTCGGTGAGTTATACAGTATTATTTTCTTTTACAAATGAGTCTCAGAAACATGAAATGATTTGTCTAGGACCATGCAGAACTGAGATTCAAATTAGACTTATCTGGCTCCAAAACCTACCTTCTTTCCACTATTTCATGTATCATACTTTTTGTATTTTATCAAATGAAGAATAATTTTTACTGAATTTTTGTTTTTGTTTACTAGCTCACTATATATGTCCAGCCAGAACAAAATTACACAGCTGAATATGCTGCAAACATAACTAAAATTGCATTTGATTATTTTGAAGAATACTTTGGTGTGGATTATGCTCTTCCTAAATTAGGTGAGAATCACTTTTTAGTTTCTTATTTTTAATATTTCCTTTATTTTAATCTAAGTTAATTCACTTTCTCAAGTTTTATCACTCTTTAATACTCATCCCTAAGTCTTTTTTTGTGTGCCTACAATATGTGTCTAATACTTACTAGACATGGAAAAAAATCTATTCTGGTTTCCTCCAAGAATAATGTCTATACTCTGTTCTTACTTGATAAATATAGTCTTTTATTTCTAAATAAAGATTAAAGTACTATATGTGCATAAAACTGCAAATGTTGATAATTATGGAACCAGAAATAGCAACGCAGATCAGTACCCATCCTAATAGCTTACATTGTCTCCCTACCATCAGTGAGTCGGGAAATAATAGGAATAAATGATGATGTCAGAGTCCCATGTGCCTGCAGTCTTTCTGTTGTTATACAAGACTAATTCTAGATTCTCCAGCAGTTAAAATGAAACACTGGTGCTCCTTTCATAAATATTTTTTTCTGATATGGAGGGGGCGGTTTTATTTTAAAATAAAAATAGGGCTATAATCAAAATGGTCTGTATGTGACATTTCTATCAATAGCAGAAATATTTTATTAGTACACGTGAGTGGTATTAGTAAGACTTTAAATGGAACATCCATATTGATGTCTGTAGGGATGAAATGAAGGCAACAGGAAAACAAACCAACTAACAGCCGACTTTTTTTTGTGGGTTTATTTTTTTTATAAAATTTATTGAGGTGACTTTGTTTAATAAAATTATATAGGTTTCAAGTGTACAATTCAATAAGACATCAGTTGTATGTTGCATTGTGTGTTCACCACTCAAAGTCAAATCTCCTTCTGTCACCATATATTTGACCCCCTTTACCCATATCTACCTCTCCCCTCCTTACCCTCTGCTAACCACTGAACTGTGGTCTGTGTCTATGAGTTTTTGTTTGTTTGTTTTATTTGTTTGTTACTTTCGGTTTTATAGCCCACATATGAGTGAAATCATATGATTCATGACTCTTTCCATTTGACTTATTTCACTCAGCATGATATTCTCAAAATCCATTTCTGTTTCTGCCCTTACTTTGATAAATTTTCGATGCAAAGCAACTGGAAGGCCAAATTCTCTGCATGGGAATGGCTATGGTTCTGAGCAAATTTGTAGATGCCCTGTTTTCTCTTCATTGGCAGTGGCTCCAATTTTTTTTTTTTTTTTGATTGTTTAACAACTATTAGAGAAAGAGACTGGAAGAGGAACAACTTTTCATCAAAATAAGAATAATGTTTAATAAAATGTTAAACATGTCAATTTTAAAGTCTTTTTTCTCTTTATCTTATGCCACCCAAGATAACCTGTGAGTGGAAATCTCGCAAATTTATTTTTTTATTCTCCTCACTTTCTTCCTCCCTCTCAACTACTACTACTACTACTACTATTACAACTACTATTACTACTGCAACTACTACCACCACCACTGTCACTATTTCTACTATTACAATTACTACAACTACTATTATTACTACAACTACTGCTACTGCCACCACCACCACTACTACTACTTCTAGTAAAACTATTGCTAAACTACTATAATAATGATGACAACTACTGCTACTGCAACTACTACAACTACTTCTCTTCCTCCTTGTCCTCCTCCTCCTCCTTCTTCTTCTTCATATTCCTATATGCATTTCAACCCTTTGAGAATCGACTATCTTAGACTTTCCTTAGAAATGGCTTCTTCATTTATTATAGCCCCCAAAATTACATGCACTGGAGTTTATTATAATGTCAGTACTCAGCAAAGAAACTAGATTACAAAAAGTTCCTTTTTTTCAAGGAGTAGGTACAAATTTTATTTTATAACATTATGGAAAATATTGGACCATATGGGGAATACTTCTTCATTCTTTAAGTGGTATTCTTGTGACAAAATAACCAAACCTAAGAATGAAGATAACATGAAATGGTAACTACTGCTATAATCTTGACCATTATTTAAGATATATTGATTTTCATTCTTTAGTAAAAAGCTTCAAAAATCTTTATTTTAACCAGAAAGGGCCTTTTCTTATATGTTAGATGAAAGTTTATTTTTATTTATGTGCCTCATTCAAATTCTATGTAATAGTAAAGAAATTATATTCTTATTATAGTTCATTGTCTAGAGAAGCTGTATGTGTCCAGTAATCAAGCTGAGTATTTTCTGTTTTGAGATTTAACACAGAACTGATCAACACTGACTCTTCCCATTAGTGTGTCTAAGGTTATAGGCTCCAGCAAAAATAAGGAACAGGAAGTCATGAGAGAATTCAACATTTTAGACCTGGAAGGGAATGTAGTCAATTCCATGTTACTCCAACTAACTTAATACATACAAATGAATGGTAAGCTACTTAATTAGTAGGGAATCAGGTTGACGAAATTGTACAGAATTACGGGAAAAGTAGAACTTATATTCTCTTATATTCTGTGACCCTGGATAGAAATATATTTCTGTGCACTTGAAAGCTCTGCACTTTTAAGTTCTCATTTGAAAACTTCATTCTCTTAATTCTTTACAGCTTATCTCCAAAACAGAAGCTCTGTGCTACCTAAGTGAAAATTGTTTTAAAAAATTAGAAAGCTAAATAAAATGAAATACAGAGAGAGAAACAAAAGACATAAAATTATAGAGGACTTGAAAAGAGCATTGCCATGAGTAAAAATGTGTAATTAGTAAAATTTCCATTAAAAAAATAAAAGACACATTTATATCTGGAACCAACAGGAAAAAGTCCATGGAAATTTTGAGTGTATTAAGACTGAAAAGTTTGCATGAATAGATTATTTTTAGACTTTTTGAAAAACATTCATACAAAGAACTTAATTTGGTAAGAAAGGTCATGAACAAATGGAAAGAATGTATTTCTCACTGGACTCTTTCTTTTTCCATAGATGAAATAGCTATTCCAGACTTCGGCACTGGGGCTATGGAGAACTGGGGACTTATCACGTTCAGAGAAACAAACCTGCTTTATGACCCTGAGGAATCAGCCTCATCAAATAAGCAAAGGGTGGCCACTGTGGTTGCCCATGAACTGGTGCATCAGGTATAGAATCTTAGTATCAGATTAGCTTGTTTTAAAAAGTTATTTTTAATATAAGAATAATTGAAAGAATTATAATTTAGCAAATAAAAAATAACTAATTTAGAAAATCCTGTTTGAAACTCTTTCTTAGTGCTAGGAAACATTTTACGATAAAGAAACTTTTAAGAGACATTGTTTTGCCTTTAGTAAATACACAGGAGGTCTTCTTATAACTTTAAATATTCTCAGTAATACCTAAATAAAGGCAAGAAACTAAGGAGAATTTAACATCATTTTAAAACCAGGAAAAATAAAGCAGGAAATAAATGCTAAGTACAAATCCAGCCACTTCTGTGTCAAGCGACAAAATTTACATGTACAAATGAATGTATTGAAATTTTCTAGGCCTCTCTACCAAAGGTATAAGAATTTAACTATCGCTTTATTGATTATAATTTCAGTGGTTTGGAAATCTTGTGACCATGGAGTGGTGGGAAGACTTGTGGCTAAATGAAGGATTTGCTTCCTTCTTTGAGTTCTTGGGAGTAGACTATGCAGAAAAAGAATGGCAAATGGTGAGTACTAAATATATAAGCCCCACATCCTATTTTTCTCATGCAAAGCAGATTAAAGCCTTTGAACCATGATTCTTAGTTTGGAGCCAAGTGAAGCAGTGAATTAGAATTCCATTGTGGAAATGGTGTAGAGCCTGCTGGCTCCACTGAACTGTACTTTGCTTAGAGCCTATGCCCAAGACCTAGGGGGAACTGACCACCAGGATCTGAGGGGATCCTTAATAGAATCACTCAAGAACATATGTCAAGGAAGGCAAAAAAAAAAAAA